TCAGTATCAGGAATATACATCCAAGGCAGTATTGGATGTAGAATGCTTTCCAGGGCATGATCCAGGCTCAAAAAATAGGAAGTTGCCTTATGAAGAAGAGACATTAAGGTAGTGAATCCATGGCCGGGTGAGCTATGTAGAAAGACTGTCTCAAAAATACAAAACATAATTCTTTCCGTGTAAGTATGTCTAAAGAGTAAAATCTTAAAATGTGTTTTAAAAATTGATATTTACAAAAGTATCCTTTACTTGGCATAAAGCCTACAGATGGACAAGCAATTAGTATAAGTTAAGAGGTAATTCAGATGAGCTAAAAGTTAGGAAGGCTTAAACCATCTATAGAACTGAATAACCCAGGGGAAGGATGGAGTGAGTTTTCCAAAGGGTTAAATCATAATATAATATATAATCGTAAGCAAATTATATTTCAAATAAATAAAACAGGAAATATAGTATATTCTACCTCATTAAAAAGTCAGAAATATTTATAAATAACAAATATATGTCAATGTGTTTGCATGTTTATCTATATGTATAAATAATGCATATAGTATTTTTAAGTACACTTTAGTTTCTATGGATTTTATATTCTGTCACATTATAGTTAATGAATATTCACAAATATCCTTTTAGAATTAGGCAATAAGTAACAAATTCAGTTAGTATTTATCAGCATTTATAAAGCAAAGAATATTGTACTGATTATAGGAAATGACATAAAATATTGATTTTCTATAACCTCTACAATAAATAACCATGCAATGAAGAAACACTCCAAAATCAGTCCCAATAAGGCTATAAAGCTTACAGAAAAATTGGGTATCTAAATGTTGGATGAGAAGAATCTATCTTTTGCCATATTCGTTTCTCAAACATCATGCTTTAACATCTGTGGGCACATTTATTCCAATCTATCATTATCTTAAGAGATTGCTATTCTTTCTTACTAAAGTAATCCTAAGTAACATAAGTCATTTTGTATCTTAAACTCATTCACATGGTAGATGTTATTTTAAAATAAACAACACATGAATGGTTCTTCAGAATGATTTTTGTGAAAGTAGATCCCTTTGTAGGCTGTAATTGCTGCATAAGAAACTAAGGACATGCAGGAACATATACTTAATCTGTGGGATTCCCTAGTTTCAGAAGAGTGGGTTAGTAGAAGGAATGGAAAATGGGGGGCAGAGTAGAGGAACTCAGTATTGCTCTTTTTTACAATATCTCACTGACTCTTTGAGAACTTCATACAGTCTATTCTGAACATGTTTACTATCTTCCTCCAACTCCTCCCGTACTCACCCTCTCCTCTACCCACACAACTTTGAGTTTTCTTCTTTATCCCCACACCCCAGAAAGTGCAGTTTGTGTTTCCCAGATAGTCTTGGAGATAATCTTTGCCCTGGAGTGTGGATGACCCACCAGGGGATGTATCATTAAGGAAAACTGATTCTCCCTCTCTTAGAACCTATGAAATGCCAATCATGGTGGGATTCTTGCTTACTCCAACTTTCTACACTAGGGTTTTGTCTGCCTTGAACTTGTACAGGTCTGATGCATGTGTTAGAATTGCTGTGAGTTCAAATATGCAACTCCCCTGTTGTGTCCTGGCACTCAGCATTTTTAACAGCAAAGAATGAAAACTATATGACTTAATGTCTATGCAAATCTAGCTCAGCCAGTACAAATGTGCATTCTGTCCTTGAATTAAATCTAACCATAACTCTTATTGAAATGTCTTAACCATTTAATGTTCAGTGAAACTTTAAAATAAGTTAATGGCGAAAAATAATAATTTATTAAGTGTGCTTTATGTACTTGACCATATTAATTTTGTATGATCTTCCCAGACCTCTATAAAATGGATTTAGTTACCATTATTTTAATGTAGAGTAAGTCAGTGTTGACTAATATAAGAAGAGCTAATTCAGGCTATAATTCACACTGCTAAGTACTAAGAATATTGATATTATAGCTGACATAATTAATAGCCAGTTATAACAAATATTGATAAGGAGTGATCTTAGGAGAGAGATTCATTTCACATCACCAAAATTGTCACTAACTTTCATGGAAAACATCAACTAGTAGTGAGAAATAGGTCAATTCTCTTTACCTCTGTCTGTTTCTCATATTTCTTTCTAACATGGATGGGTCATATATAACGAACTTCTTTAACTTGTAGCCCAGTGTATGGCTGAGTTTGGCCAATGGGTAGGATCAGCAGAAACACAGCAAACTGTGAAGAAAGCATGAGTTCAGCTAGAATGATCATCTTCCTTTATTCAAACACCACCTCTCTCTCTCTCTCTCTATATATATATATATATATATATATATATATATATATATATATTTCAGTTGTTGCATAGTAACCATACCTATTTGTGGGCTACAGTGTGACATTTCCACACATGTACACAACATACAAAGTTCATGTCAGGACAGTTGGCAAATCTATCACTTGGGATATATAGCACTTATTAGTAGTGAGAGCATTGACACTCTGCTAGATAATATGAAATAATCATTGCCATCCCTAGTTATCCTACCGTGCTACAAAAGACTAGTCATTCTTCTCATTAATCTGCTCACTAACACCTTCTCACCATCCTCTCTTCCTCCCACTCAGTCCTTTACCTAATGAATTCTTAAACTCCAGCTTCAAGAAATTGTTCTGTAAACTCACAGTCTCTGGCCAGTCCTACAGATACTAACTTTCACAGCTTTTAGTTTATGCCATTTATCTGAGAAATAGCTCCTTATCACTATTGTCATGGCATGCAGTATCATTGGAATACCTCTTCTAGAGGGAGAGGAGTAGATGTTGATTGATGGAACAATTGCTGGGAGAACAAAAGCTTCCTGAAATATAGATTGCTGTCAGAGTGCCAGCAAGGAGAATCTTCCTATTTTTGTTTTATCCTGCTGTATAATTAAAATCATGTCAAGCTAGACATGGTAGAACACTCCTGCAATCCCAGCTCTCAAGAAGCTGAGGCAGAAGGACCACAAGTTCTAGGCTAGTGCTAGGCCTCACAGCAAGACTATACCTATAGATTAACTGTATTTGTTGTTTTTTTCATTAGTTATTTTTGGGAAGGGATGATTCTCAATGAAAATACATACTTCAGTTTATTTAAAAGTTACATTTTCATTGGTAGTGTAGCACTTTATGTGAATTACTTTTAAATATTTATCTCACCATAAATTCATGGAAGCACTCTGATAGCTAGGAAGTTTGATTTTGTTAGAGTAAAAGGCCATCAAATAACAACTGCTATTGATATTTCTACATAAAATTGCAAACACTTCAGAGTCCTTATTCTTGCAACATTTATACTTGTGCTAAACACTAAGAACAAATAACCTTATCCATTAATCTTATATCCCTTTTCAATGTCAATGTTCTAGAAGAAGTTTCTGTCACTGATCTCTTTGTACTATTTTATTTGTTTCTCAAAAATGATTGTCTCTTAAAGTACTACTCTTTCACCCACAGAAAATGTTCCCTCTGAGACAGAAGGGATCTATGCTTTTCAAACTTCAGAGTGTTCTTATGAGGTTCAAGAAACACATTATTTCCCTGACAATCTAGGGCGTTGTGAGCATAGTACCTCTAATCCATATGCTGTAAAGTTGGGTCTACCTCTCCCTAGAAATCTCAACAAGGAAGTTCTCTGCATCCATCATGCTAAGCCAGTGCGTAACAGGCACATGAATGCTACATACTAAGTTTTTGTAAACAGTTATTGTCAAACATATATACAGTGACCACTTCTAGCTTTTAAGCTTTTTGGAAATTGAAGATCCAAAGAAATTTCAGTATTTATCATCTTCTGGAAGAATCCAGAAGATAGCACCTTACCTCTGATCATGCAGACTCTGATCTTCCCTTCCCTCTCCTCCTCCTCCCTTCTCTTATCTCCTCTCCCCTTTCTCTCTCTCTACCCCTCTTTCTCTCTCCCCATCCCTGCTGTCCCTTTCTTTCTGTCTCCCTATCCCTCTCCCTCCCTATTCATTTCTTCTCATAAGGACATTTAACAGCATCTGATTAGGGTCTTACCCTGATGGCTTCTCTTAGCTATGGTTTCTTTCTTTAAGTCTCTATCTAGAAATACAATCCAGTTATGGGTTAAGACCCCACTGTAGGGAGACATAAAATTGAGTCCCTGGCAATATTTGAGAAATTATTCCATCAATGTTTTCTTATTTTGCTGAAAATTTTTATTTAATTCAAATTACAATTTAAAAGAACAGTTTTCTCATGACATAGGTGGTATACTCATGGACTCATAGCAGCTGTGATTACCTGCACAATACCAGCACAAGATCAAGCCAGTTGAAAATGGCATAGATAGGGCAGATGATTTCTAGGACTCTCTATTTACTGAGAAGGAATTGACAGTTGACAATTATGGAAAAGGAGAGACCACTCATCTTTGAGGATGTGGACTCTGGGAGGATTCTCATATTCCAGTAGAAGCCCCACTCCCATAGGGGCAACACTAGGCAGACTTAGTGGGTTTTTAATAAGACATGATGTTGGGAAGGGCATGTGTCAAATGGGATATGGTGAAATTTGGGCTGAAAATGTGGGTGGAATGTAATTATGTTTCACTCTACACATGTATGAACTCTTCCAGAATAAAGACTTTTTAAAAAGTATTTTATATGTCTGGGTGCTTTGACAGCAAGTGTGCCTCCAGAGGTCAGAAAAGAGTATCAGATTCCCTAGAACTGGAGTTACAGACGGTTTGAACTACCATGAAGATTCTGGGAATCAAATATGGGTCCTCTGGAAGAGAGGCTAGTGCTCATAACTGCTGAGCTATTTCTCAGCCCAGAATAAAGAAAACTATCAAGAAACTGTTTTCTAAAATAAAATATGAAAAAATAAAGGGTAAGAAGACAACCATTTCATTAGGAGAAACTAAATCAAACAAGGAAGTACTTGTTACCCTTCCTCATATTTACCATGATCAATGTTTTTTGTCCAGCCAACCAGAGCTGCCCCAGTGGAGCTTTGATGTGTAACTCTTCCGGCAGCTGTACCCCAGCTCACCAACGCTGTGATGGTGTTACCCACTGTGAGCACTTCCAACTCGATGAGTCCAGCTGCTCAGGTATTCCTTTTCCTTTCAACTTTTCTTTGCAATATGACCTATTAACTAAATCTTCAGGTGATAAAATGTTAAAAGTGGGTTTTCTAAATAATGATAGACATGAACTTATAGAGACAAGAAGAATGTTGCTATCTTAGATTAGTAAGAAGTTTATAAATGAATAATGGACTCTATTCTTCCATAACATGTTCACTAAATGATGAAAACTAAGAATCAGGCAAATGGTTCAGTCAATGCAGCACTATTCCTGTAGGCATAAAGACCTGAGTTCAGATCCCTAGCATCCAGCTAAAAGTCTGGTCACGGCAGTTGACTGTAATTCTAACATTGAAGAGGCAGAAATAGGAACTGGAACTTGAATCAGTGAGCTCCTGAATTCAGTGAGATACTATCTGAAAAAAATTAAGTTGAAGAGAGAAAAGGGAAGACACCCAACATCAATATGTGGTCTCCACACACACATGCATGCACCAACCACAAGCACACATGAACACAGAATAACAAACACCACTCATACAGAACAATACAAAGAAAAACAATATACAATTTTAGTGGACTATAATTTGAGATCCTTAATATTTAATAATATATGAAAATTGCCATTTTTCTGTAATAAGGGAGGCCTACAATATAATGTTAGTATCTTTATGAAATTGCATACTTTTTTACTTTTTTACTTTTTGATAACATAAGTTAATGATATATTTTTCCTTCAGTATATTAAATTGTAGATTGCTTTTGAATCTCTTCATTTTTCCAACCATGGAGCATTCATACACCATAAGAACTGATAATGTACAGTTGTCCTGTGTGTATAAAAACTGCTCTAAAAATTTCTATCATATATTATGTAAAACCCCATGGTATAAGTCATTGTTATCTTCTCTCCTGATTATTTCATACAGGGTATTTCTAAAGTAATAGATCACTAAGGGTATTAAATTCTGTCAAAAGTGAAAGATAATATAAATCAGTAATGAAAATATATTTGATACTATTTCTTACTAATTTGGAAATATTTTATAGCAAATATAGGTAAAATATACTTTATATTTTAAAGACACTCATGGAATTATGAAATATATGTCATCAGCATGAACCAGTTGTAGCTCACAAAAGCCTTATTTACCCAGTTCTGACTTTTTTGAGTATAATAGGAAATAAATACATCATCAGATCTAGTCCTATATTCAAAATGTACAAGGACAATCTACAAAACCATGGTTGTTTCCCCTGATTCTTCTACTAAGCATTCTAGACCACAAAAGAAGCCTGTTGGTCTATTGACAAATAGTAAGAAAGAAGCAGGGGGACCAGACATGATGAGGTTCAGGTCTTATCACTCAGTATGCAGGGATAGGAAGATTGTGAGTTAGAGGCCAGCCTGAACTACACAGTGAGACTTGGAAAAATGAATAAAAGATTAATAATGTAGTAATAATATAGTTCTGTTCTTTAGAACTCTTGACACCTTGCTTATGTCCATGTGAGGGCGAGATTTTCTTCAGGACATCCATCTATGAGCACAAATCAAACTTTGCTATGATTTATTGCCTGCTCTGACACAGTATACAATTAAAAATCAGGTCAGAGAAACAGAAGACTTACCACTCATACTGGCTGATAGACACTGTTTATTTCATTCAAGTACCAATCACTTACAGTCTACTCAAAGAGTGCAGGTCACATTGACATAGCTTCTGGGTTAGAGTGACACAAACAGCTAGTGAAACCATTGTCACAAATAAAATCCATACTCTGTTTGCTCTAATTACATTTTGTATACTTTGAGCTCTTCTATCAAATATGATAGTTAATGCCTGTGTTTTGAAGAATGCCTTTAAGACAGGCCCACGATACAGATTTGGTAATGTATGTCATACATTTCTGTTTTTCCAAACATCAGCTGATTTTAAGGCCAGCCTTATGAAGCTCTCTCCTTGCAGTAGCCAGTACTCACCATAGCAGCCTCACAGCAGATGGTGAGCAGCATCTGGCTTTGCACACCTCAGGGTTCAGTTCAATTTGGTCATTAAGAACATCAAACTCAGGCATTCTGAGGATATTTCAAAGAATTTTGTCAGTAGCATAAGAAAACCATAATATTTTCACCTTGTGATTCCTTTTGCAACAGAAACAAAATACCAAGATTCTTCCAACTGAAATTAAACTGGAGGTGATTTTTCTAATTATGTACAGTGATAGCAGTTTGCAAAATTTGTGCTAAAGAAATGCTGTAATTGGGCCAGGGGTTGGTGGTGCATGCCTTTAATCCCAGCACTTGGGAGGCAGAGGAAGGCGGATCTCTGTGACTTCGAGGCCAGCTTGGTCTCCAGAGTTAGTGCCAGGATAGGCTTCAAAACTACACAGAGAAACCCTTTATCGAAAAACGAAAGAAAGAAAGAAAGAAAGAAAGAAAGAAAGAAAGAAAGAAATGCTGTAATTATGGTGATATCTAATTCTGCCAAGAGAATTAGAAAATGACAACAAAATATAAAATTGTACATTGAGACATCAAAAATTTAATGCCATATGTAATGTGATGATAACATATCTTCATAAAGTTTCAGATGGCTTTAAAAAAAAACAAAGCACTAAAACTTCCCAGCAAGGATCTTGCTGCTCTGTAAAGTGTCTGAGACATAGTAATCCCTCCTATGGCCCTTGTGATGGGTCTTTAAGGTACAGAAAACAGAGGCTCCAGAGACAAGTGCAGTGCTTTCATGGAAGTCTGAAAATCTGAGTTCCAATCCACAGCACTACTGCAAAAATAAGTCCAGGCATAGTGGTGCATGCTTGTAATTCTAGTGCTGGGAAACAGACACATATTTCTCTAGGACTAGCTTACCAGATATCTTACCAGATAATGGTGATATCTAGGTCCCAGTGATATATCCCATTTTAAAATCAATATAAATGGAGCCTCCTGAGGAATACAAGGCTAATACATGACTTCTTCAAAGCCATACACATATAAACAAGCAGTTGCATGTGCGCGCGTGTGTGTTTATACATATGTTTCTTGTCTTTACAGTCCATAGACACTACATTTTGGAACTGAACTAAATAAGAAAATATTTGACATTTTTAAACAAGCAGCTCTTTGAATTAGATGACCAAGATTTAGTTATAGTTTATGTGTTTCTTTGCTAACAACTCAAATAAATTTGGTTAATCCCATGAAGCTTCCATTTTGACACAATGTTCCCAGGGCTAAGAAAAGCAACATATGCCAAACTGTTTAGGTTGTATTTGTCTCACAGCAGGCCTTCAAATACTTCTGATGGTGATTAGAACAATGGGAGAAGGGATGAGGAGAAGCTGGAGATACACAGTGATGGAAATGCAGTTTATTTTCCTGGTCATTCACAAAACTCCTCCAACAAATACAGAGATGAGTGAGAACAATTATTTAATGCCTTATATGTGTCACTCACTAGTGTAAAAATGATCTAATTAATATTTCCATCTTTCTACTCTCATATATCTATTTGTATGTATATCTATATTTATATCTATATGTTATATTTATTTTTATACAGAGAGATAATATATAGACAGATTATAGATAGACAGACAGGTGATAGATATTATAGATGAAAATTATGCACTCAAAAGTCCCAAACTCACACAGGACATGAGTGCCTGTTGCAAGGTGACACAGAGCTAAACTCAGAGCTTGTGTAGCTATCCATCTTTCTGGAAAAATGTAATGCAGCAGATGCCAGATTCAAAACTCTATTTTATTCAGAGTAATAAATAGGTACCTAGTTGCATATTTAAGGGTAAAGATTATATCTGTGCTTATGTGTGTGACTCTTCATTCAAACTAATACACCAGAATGGGATAAAATATAAATTCCCCCACAAATGTTGTATCAGTGAGTCGTGTTGGCCTCCAGACACAGTATCATAATAACCAAGGACAGAGGGTTAGGCCAGTGAGGGGTCACTGTGGCCAAAGAACAAGGGGCCTTGTGCTCATTGTAATATGCTCTCATGGATTCTTCTATTATGTCCTAGAAATAATGGGCCTCTTCATTCCTAACAAACCATATCCATCCCCTTTCTCATTTAATTTAGTGTTCAAAATTGCTTTGAGAAGATTAAAAATGAAAATAGTCTGTATTTCAATTTAATGATCTACTATGAATTTATAAAACCTTCCCAGGGAAAAAATCTGCAGCTCTGTGAAAATACCAGAATTGAAGCTAGGGACAGAGTTCAGTCTAAAAAGAGCTTGCTTTGAAAGCCCAAGAAGAGATTGATCTCCAGAGATCATACAAAAATAAATAAATAAAATAAAAATGAAAGCCTGGCATGCTGATTCCCTCTAATCTAAGTCCTAGGGAAGCAGACAGGTTGGTGCCTGGTTGGTGAGTTCAAGACCCATTAGAGACACTGACTAAAACCAAGAGTTAAACAACAAACAACAAAGCCATTGAAGATGATACTTGTGGAAGAACACTTGACCTTATACTTTGGCCTCCACATGCATGCTGGCATGCATTGCGTGCGCACGCGAGCGCACGTGTACACACACACACACACACACACACACACACACACACACACACACACACACGCATTCACCACTACCACCAGCATGCCACCAGCACCCATGTTCTTTCCGAAGTAGTCCTCTGACTCCCATAAGGAAACATGTCCGAAGGTTCCCATAGCACCATGCTGATGAGCAGCAGCAAGGCTGCTTTATTTGTTTTGATCACAGTGAATGGTTGTCACTCCTGAAGAAAGAGGGAAGTGGCTGCCAAGTGGATTGAGTTGCCTGACAGCATCACACTTGGATGTTGTTTTGTTTTTTTCTGTTTAGTTGGTTTTACTTTTTGCAATAGAACAAGAATCATTATGTGAGAGATACTAAAACTGCACTTAGGAGAAATAAGTAGGAAATGTTTGCATCTATTTGTGTCCTGTTGATTGCTGGTCTGCTTTTCTCAGAGCATCTGGTTTCTTGTTTTTGAAGGAAATTTCAATTCTGTCTGTTCGAGGAGGCCCATCACCAGAAGGAAAGATGGCTTTTTTTTACTCCCCTTGCCAATTCTATTGCCTCTAGCTAGTTAAATAAAACCAAGAGAGACCAAGATGGGAAAGACACTACTGGGAAAGGAAAATGTTGAAATATTTGGAAACCCAAAATGACACTTAACACTAGATACTAAACACATGGAATTTTCAGACACCCTCTGCCCCCCTCCCCCCTCTCTCTCTTTCTCTCTCATTCCCCCTTTTTTAATGCTTTTGGAGTGTTCTGTGGTTGGCTGGACAATCTTTCTCAAACCACCTTTTTTCTCCAGTGTTCTGTTTTAATCCACAATATCTGCATGAGTTTTCTATTTGTTTAATTCTCTTCATAAATAACATTTTCTTGTCCCTAGTAAAAGTTTGCCCTCTCTGTCTCTCACTCCATTAAATCTGGGAAACACCTGTTGGTATGTCCTGTTGGCACCTTTATCAATGACCATAAAGAAAGCTTCAAATTCATATCTCTAAGCCTACAGATTTCAGTGCCATGGAGAATCATGGAGTGAATCCCTTAACCAACCTAACACAGCATCATTCTTTCCCTACCCCATCAGTCATTCAGCTAGGTAAATGAAGCCATCTGCTTGCCAGTGTCCCAGCCAGACACTGGAACATCACTGTCTACTCTTCCAAGTAATCACAAAACATTTTCAACTTCAGAATTTTACATGCTAACAAATCCATACAGCTCTTACTTCTCCATCCCAACCCTAGCTTTTTCCTTTAGGCAGAAACCATTTCTTTGCAGACTATTACAAAGGACCTTTAACTGGGTCATTTTTATTCTTCATGTTTCTCTTTCCTTGGTAGAATGGCCGATGTTCTCTTTCTAAGCATGAGGAGTGCCAGGTACCTTCTTAATATCCTAGCTTCCATGAGGCTATATGCTTTAAACTCCTGTATATCTGACTTTCAAATCATCACAAATCCCACCAGGATGAACTCCCTACCTCCATTCTTCAATCATACTGAATTCAGTTTTCAAACTCAGCAGTCTTCATGTTTACCTTCACACAAGCGTGTGATTGATTGCCAACATAAGTGGGTACAGAGTGTAATGTATGATGCCCTAATTTAAATAAGGTCCCATCCCCATTACTCCTATCAATTTTCTCTGCCCATCTAAGATGCTGCATTATTTTAGACAGTGTTTTGATGCCTCACTAACTCTTTTGCCTCCTCTGTAATCCTGGAACATCAATGACAGCAGGCTCATACCTACATATCTTTCATCATGAAGTGTTCTAAAATCCTCAACACAACAGAAGAAGGGTTCTCTTTTACCTCTGTTTAGTAAAGAGGAAACACGCAGAGAAGTTAACCTTCCTTATGTTACACAGCAACTTAGTTGAGCTGAGACTCCAACTCAGAGAACTGGCTCCAGTAACAAAAGCCTCACCAAGTGTGTTTAGTTGCGGGTATTATTACTGGTCACATTCACAGGGCCTAACTCAATGTCAGACATTTAATAGGTGGCCAGTATCAACATTGTATTATTGTATTAAAACTTAAAAGTGATAGAGGTTTCCAACAGATATTACAGCTACAATAGCCCAAGCAGGCTAGAATGGTACTCTGAAAGAGTGGTTGTATTGAAAGAAAGATGGGAGGAGCAAGCTGGGAACCCTTGGGGAACAGAAACACTGGCCTGCCTTGGTGCATCAAGAAGACAGAGTCAATTCATGTACCACAAGAGCTAAAAGCACAAAGCACCTCTGCAGTAGAAAGTATGTGAGAATATATGGCTTAATTATTTTGAAATATTTAACCTGTAAGCAGAGCAAATTTGAAAATAGATGCCCATTCTAAATGGGAACTAGGGAATGACACTTGCAATGAAATAGTAGTGCCTGGGTAAGTAGGACAAAGTAAATTGTGTCAGCATCTGCATTGACACAAAGGCAAGCCATATGTATGCACAGGGGTACAAGACCATCCATGCAGAATATTAATCTGCCATCATTGAGTGACTCCTTAGGTATGTAAGAAATATTTCAGTAAACACAAACTTTTACTGTGGACAAACGACATGTCCCTCAGACATCTAAAAAATAAATATATTGCCAGGGATCGGTGGCACACACCTTTAATCCTAGCACTAGGGATTAAAGAGGCAGAGGCAGTCAGATCTCTTTGAGCTCAAGGCCAGCCTGGTCTACAGATTGAGCTCCAGGACAACCTCCAAAACAATACAGTGAAACCCTGTCTTGAAAAACCAAAATAAAACAAATAAATAAATATATTGTGCCTAAGCATGGCAGAAACATCTTCTCTTTCAGTTCACTCAGGCACACAAAGGGTAAGAATCATCTAGACTACCAGGGACCACTGGTCAAATTGGGAGTGAGAAGGGTGCACAAGAAAGAATTATTTGCTTTTAGTAACTGATAAGCCAGTTATCCTCAGATGAAGTTTAATGCAATAGCTAATACGAATACATACCGCTTCTTCATAAAAATGTTTTTAATTAATTGTGGTCTGTGTGGTACATCTTTTTCAGAGTGTCCAATACATTACTGCAGAAATGGTGGGACTTGTGTGGTAGAGAAGATTGGTCCTGTATGTAGGTAAGAATGTTGCTTAATTTTTTTTAACATTTAAGTCAGCTAACTTACTTACTTATTGGCTTCAAGGCTTGAGACAGTAGAACCATAAACCAGTATATGATTAGTCAGGTGAAAATAGTGGATTATGAAACTAATATACAACTTTATGTATTTGTCAGATAAAAAAGTGACTATACTTCAAGAAATATTGTATGTTTGATTGAATTTTACACATTTTTGACATTTTCTAGCACATAAGATGCACCATTTTCAAAAATGCATATTGTTACCTGATTTTGATGTTCACATGGTTTCAAAGGTTTTTTGGTGCTTTTGAGTCTCATTCTGTGGTCCAAGTTGATCTTGAACTTGCTGTATTCCCCTGCCTTAGCCTCCCAAGGGCCAGATTTATTGTGTGAGCCTCCACACTCAGTTCAAAAGATGATTTTCTGATACAGTTCTCTAATTTCACATGCAGCTAAGTGTCTGCAATTCCATTCTTTTTTATTTGAAATCCCATATTTGCCTTTCATAATAATAAAGGATAGAATTAATTCATAAAAAAGGCTGTCTTCTGACTTGTCATGGATGTTTATGAGAAGATTAAAGGCCCAGATAACAGTCTATTTACATACTCAGAGCAAAAATAAACAAAAACAGACCTCCTGAGTTCTTTGGGGAATTACTCATATTGCATATCAAAGTTTCCTGATTTTTTTTTCTCAGCCTGTAGGGAATTGTGCAAAAAGTTTCACAAACTCCAAAGGAAATGATGCATATTGCATTATATTTGTGTTTATGACTTTTTAATCTAGAAGAGCACTGTGTATATTACTTTGCTTATTGCAAATCTTTTGAATTCATATTCAAATTTTGAATTGTGATATTCAAATTATAGTAAAATACAAATATCTAAAAAACCACTCAATAATATCTATTTAAATTCTTAAAACCTTTCGAGTCAACACTCAGAATAGGAAGCTTGTTTCGATCTCTGGGAGGAGATTAGGGGGGTCTTTCGCCCTGATTTTGGACATATTAGGAATTCTGGAGGCAGGGTCCTCACTGTCTTTAGTTGTGTATGCATTAGTGATCCCACCAGGCTCCAGTGGATAGTTTCAAACCCATGATAACAGGGATGATCCTGATTAAACCTTCTGAGTTTCTAAAAACAGCAACAACAAAAGCCATGGATATGGGAAGGATGTGTATGTGTGTGCACACATATGCTGGGAGTATCAAAATGGGATGGAGATTAGTGAAGTGATTATAATGATCAGAATGTACATTACACATGTATGAAATTCTCAAAGCACAAACTCAATAAAAACTTTAAAAACAAACAAACAAGAAACAATACAATCCCACAGGCAATGAGATAGCTCAGAAAGCCAAGTTGCTTTGCAGCCAAGACTGAGAACCTGAGTTGAACCTAAACCCTGGGACCAACATGGTAAGGGAATTGGCTCTCTGAAGTGGCTCTCTGACCTGCACAGGCATGCAGCAGCATGTGGGAGCCCACTCAGAAGCTTGTGTACATACACACATTCTCTCTCTTGCCCTCTCTTTATGTATACCTGTGTGTGTGTGTGTGTGTGTGTGTGTGTGTGTGTGTGTGTAACATTAAGTGTGATGAAACTGAATTTCAAGTGAGTTTCTTAACGTGTTTTGTGTCCTAAATCCATTATGTAATTGATTTCACATCTCAGGATTATAATTTTTCTCATATTAGCATGAAAATTTATCATAAACTGTTGATTCAGAGATGGGATGTATTATATTAATTGCTAAGATGTCCCCAAAGAAACTGAGAAGGCTGCCATATGATGTCGATTGGAAATCAGCTAAGTGGATGATGCTATTTAATGTCAACTGTTTACAGTAAGGCCGTTTGTAATGTTGTCCTTTTCAACCCTGTTGAGCTAGAAAGCTCCCTGGCTTTAGATAGTCTCAGCTGAGCAAGCAAAAAGCTTTGCGTTCTTGGCAACCTCCTCATGTACTTAAATAAACTTTGCCAATTGAAATCCAGATGGAGAAGAACTGAATTTATTTCCCTCAAATGCAAAGCTCAAAGGTGGGGAACAAGATATAACAGGACAGAGAAGCATATGGAATTTCAGGAAGGAAATAGGTGGAACAATGCAAATAGTATATTAATACATTGTTTGCAAATCATATACCATTTTCAAAGAAAACAATTTTAAGGACAATGATTATGAACAATTGCTCAAAATCACTTTTACCTATTTTATAATATTTTTTTTATTTTTGACATTATAATATAGTTATATCATATTATAATTATGTGGTATTTACATGCTTTGTACATAATAAGTATATTGTTCCTAATCTAGTGAAGGTAAGCAAGTCACTCAAGTACACTAAGACCATCAGTACATCCCAGACAGCAGGAATCAGGTTCAAGTGAGAAAATGGGTATGGGAACAAAAATGAGTAAAAAGAAGATTTAGATATGGGCATCTAATGAAATTGCTTAGTGGAAACTAACCAGAAAGAATATGTTTAAATCTACCATCCATTATTATAAAAATAATGATTACAGACTATATATAAAACACTGACTATGTTAAATTGGAAGTTGTGTACATAATATACACATACCATAAAAATAATATATACATACTATGTATATATATAATATATAATTTTATCTAATTTATATTGTAAATAAGAAACATGCCAAGAAGAAAACTGAAAAATCATGGAAAACAATTGGGCATATAGAAATGAACATAATTAGTGATATATATATATATAATATATTATATATATTAGTTTTGTATATATATATATATATATATATAAAAGCAAATAGCCAAATTATATTATAAATGTATTTTAATGGAAACCTTGTGAAATTAAAATTAGCACTATAAAATGCTAAAACAGGCAAAAGTTCTTATATATCAAACACTATATGAACCAAATATAGAAGTCAAAAATTCACAATTTCTCAAAGGAAAAACAAAAAAACTCTATACCCACAGCAAATTCATTCACACAATTTTACATTTTCATTGCTTTGTCATAATGTAGAGACCTGTGGGTAGTGTGACCAAAGTAATCAAGCCCTTACTTGACAAAAGAAGAAACTTTAATAAAATGCTAGAAGTTAATGTTTGGCCTATTTGTGTCTTTTTTTTTAAATAGAATAAAATGTCATCAATTGGGAAAGGGTTGGTAAAACCTTTGGGCATTTTAAGTATTATTCCTAGACAACCCTGCATTAAAAAGTCTATCATACAATTTACACACAAGAAAGCTAAGGAAATGCATCAGCGGTCAAGAGTTCTATAATCGTGACCACCTGAGTCCAATCCCAGGAAGGAGGGATAATCCACTCCATCCATTCCATAAGGTTGTCCTGTGACCTGCACACCTCCAAATGCACCACACACACACACACACACACACACACACACACACACACACACACACACATGCATGCGCATGTGCGCAACTTTATAAAAATAAAAGAGAACATCTCTTTTATTATCTTTAAGATTGGCAATGTTTGAGGATAGATTACATTTTCTCATGGGTAATAAAGATCATACATTTCATTATCTTTCCAATATAAGCACACAGCACATACCTAATGTGGCAACAGCTATTTGAATAGTATGCTAACCAAAAGAATAAATGAAGCAATGAATGAATGAATGGATTGCATTTATGCAAATGACCTATCTACAATTTCACAGAATACACCATTATGCTAAAGTATGTTCTTAAATGTACTGAGATGTGAATTCATTATGTCATCATAAGCCCAATAGCAGCACAACTGAACGACTAAGGAATTTCTAAGTCACTAGAGACAACATACTGAGAAGCACATGACATGTTCATCTGTGATCAGAAATTATAACTTTCTTACAATGACAGAAGAGGGTGCTCTTAAACTAGGAATACCATTCTTCCTCAGCCATCTGACCCTTGCCACAGTGAGAACATGAATTTCATTTCCACAAAGCCACTGCTTAAAAACTCAGTTTAGGAACACATGCCCCTTCCTTCCTTTACCCTTATTTTATTGAAAAAAAGGGGGGGGTCATTGGTCAAAAAGGAATTAAAAACAAACAACTCTATTTCCAAAGAGAATAAAGTACTTCTAAGCATGTAGGATTATTTAAACATAAGCATGTACAACACTTTAAGACATTCAAAGTCTGTGTATAAAAATAGACAATAAAATACTAAGGATAAATTGAAACAAAACAAAATTCTTTATATTTTTGGAATTGTTAAAACTTTGGGAAAAGTAAATTAAAAGAAATAAAAATGATCAGTTCTTGAGTGACTATAGATTTAAATGCAAAAATATTATGACTGGAAAAGTGAGAAAATAATCGGGAGTGAATAAAATAAAGTAAAAATGAAAAGAGTCAGAGGAAGTAGCAGAGGTGGAAGATAAACATTTGCATCCTTGAAGACCCTGCAGAGGAAGCAGAATATGCAGAGCTGATGTTTAAAGACATAGTAGCTGACCTTTTGTAGCAAGACTGAAAGCCTTGGGATTGGTGGAAATGCACATCTTGGCTAGAGAACCAAGACTTCTGATATCAAGAGCTGGTGAAGATGGCGCTCTCAAAAAGAGAGGGGCATACTTTCCTCCTGCTTGTTGTTCTTTCTCTTCAGTCCTTCAGTAGCTCTGATGATGCCAAGCTTCCATGATATGGATAGGTCTTTGTTACTCAGACCACTGATTCAAAATACTCTTACAGTCACACTCAGTTTGTATTTTTACGCCAGCTATCTGGGCATCCTAAAGTCTGTATATTAGTGTCAGATTGAAGCCCATTGTTTTCCATGAGAAATAAAAATTTAAAATGTTACGCATTCATTTACATGTTAATGAAACAATTCTATCCCTGGAACTTTTCTATTGGTAAATGAAAATAACATTGCCAAATGGACTATTCATTGCTGGTTTATAATAACTTATACGTATCGGAAATAACCTAAGTGTCTGCCTAGAGCAAAGCCATTACATAAGC